TTCTGCTGAAGGTCTAGATGCCACTGGCCTGGGGCATTGTGATTGTTTGAATGAGAATGGCCCTGATAGGCTCACATACTTGAGTGCTTTGTCCCTGTCACCAACAGTTTGGATTAGGAGGTGTGGCCTTGTTATAACCAGAAGGTGTGTCACTGAGGGTAGGCTTTGAGGTTCCAAAGGCTCATGCCATTCCCAGTTAGCTCTCTCTGCTTCATGCTCATGGTTCAGATGTAAGCTCTCAGCTCCAGCACCACGCCTGCCTGCCTGCCTGCTCCCATGTTCCCCACCATGATGGTCATGGACTCTGTCTTCTGAAACTAATTCCCAATCATCAACTCTTTCTCCTATAAGTTGCCTTGGTCATGGTGTCTTATCACAGCAGTAGAAAAGTAACTAAGACCAGGCATCCACCCCTAGGGAGCCCACGTCCTGTCCACAGATTCTCCCCAAGGGGATCGTTAATCCCACTGTCTCCAGCCCCAGCCCTCAAGACAAGAAGCATATGCTCGTCCTGGGAAGTGCTGGCCAGGTTTCTGCCTGGCTGTTGGCGCATGGTACTGAACAAGAGTAGCCTTTCCCATCGGCCTGGTTTTCAGAGATATAAGGATGAATCTGTCCCTGAGACAGACCCTCCCCTGTGAAGAACTTACTGAGAAAGGGAAGAGTCCAGGCTGAAATCTTCCACATGATGCCTGGAGACACAGAGTGGACACATCAACATACAAGGTGGATGGAGGTCCAGAACCACATTAGGACTCAGGCAGTATCCCACAGTAATGGGGTATACCTAAAGTCCCCATACCTGTGACCTCTGGAGCCCCAGGAATGAAAGGTAGTGTCAGGGCAGGCAGCCAAGCATGCAAGGCAGGTGGAAGCCAGGCCTATCCCTCAGTATTGGAGAAAGCAGCAGAGTCCATTGGTGCTGTTACATGCAGGCTCTGCACTCTGGCTAGAGAGAGTGACAACCACCTTGAGGATAGGGCCCTGCCCTTAGCCAAGAGACAAAGATCTGCCTCTCTCTCATTCAATGTTAAATCTAACTTGGCCTCTTTGTGACCCTGTGTCCAGCAGTGACCCTTTCATTAGCACTGTAACTGAGGAAGCTGAAGACAGCTGACTAGTCCCTATACAGGGTCACAGTTGGACACAGTAAACCCTTGATGTTCTATCCCTTGGTTTCCTACTTGGGGCTGATGTTTCTTAAGTAACTGCTGTGTACCCCTCTACTTGTCCATCTCCAAACAACCTGACCTTGAGTTTCCCTAGACTATCCTTCCATGGAGATGGGCCTCAGTGTCAGGATGATAGGGTCAGCAACTCTGCAGTACCAGCTTGTGTTGAGGGCTGACTGTGTGCTGTCTGGACTGGTTCCTCCAACCAAGGACTTCATGGAGCCTCTCTCAACTTTCAAAGCAACTATCTTCCAGGTGAGCAAACAAGATTCATCAAAGATCACTGCAGACCTTATGCAGCATCCAATACAACCTGTGAGGCCAGGCTATCACTTCACATTCTAGTATGTATCCTAGTATGGTCCCTAGGTGGACAAGGTGAAGCATGGACATACCCTTGGAAAACTCAAGGCAGTGGGTGGACAGCTCTGCACACTACAGGGGGTCTGAAGTTTGGGGGTCCCTGAGAACCTCCAGATCCCCTGCCTATTTATATAGCCGAGATTCCCCTCCTGGACCCAGATCTGCCCCAAGAGCTAAGATAAGGAAGGGTCTGAGAAGCCAGGCAGAGGTATGTCTTGCTATGGTAGGAACAGCATCATGTGGTACCTAGCATAGAGGACCAGACCTGATGCTTACAACCCAGATCTGCTTCTGTGCAGACCCCTAGCTGCACGGGTACCATCTGGCCTCCTGAGCCCATTCTGCATGCATGGAATGCCTGAGGCTGGGACTGAAGAGTCTATGTCCCCACTGTCTGGCCAATGTTACCTGGCTCAGATCTTCCCCTTAGAGAACAATGGCCTGTGTGTAAGGAGCATGAGCTTCATTTGTTGATGCAAATGCAAATGCAAGGACTGGTGCCAGGGGATATGTGTCAGCTACATGAGCTGCCGCAGAGTGTGAAGCTATGTCCCTACTGAGGTTTCAAACGGTAAGGAAGGAGGTGTCAAGATACTTAGAGAGCAGGTTCATTGCAGATATGTGCCAAAGACACAGGTAGTCCTAGAAGGTGGGTCACAAAGCCATGAGGTAGGGGCTTTAGTCCTCAGACACTTTGATTTAGGACAGCTGTGATGAGTGTACAAGTATGGGGAGGCTCAGCTCAGATGTAAGGCTGACGCTGATGCTAGACTGGCCATGTCAGAAGTGGGCTGGAGTGCCACTGGGGAGGGGGGTTCCTGGCACCTTTGCCCCAGCCTCTACTCATGGGCTCTGCTTTGACAGGAAATTCTCCTTAGTGGACTAATTGCTTCACTGTGCCAGGCTCAAAGGGGTGGCCCCAGGAAAGACCCAGGGAGGACACAGCAATGGCTCTTCTCTGGAGCTCTTGTCGAGGAAGAAGGGCCTAGACCATCAAGCCTCTGCAGCATCCACCAGGCCCTGTAACTCCATTCTAGCAACCTTGGCTCTCCCACCACTACACCTTTACGTTCAGACCCCAGGATGTCAAAGGAGATGATTCCTGGCCCTGGAACTTCCCATGGCAGTGTCTGTGGGAACCTCAAACCCCTCCCTCTTCCTGGGATGTGAAGAACCCACGGGACTCAGGCTGCCAAAATTCTGTTTCCAGGGTCAGACCTACCTTTTAGGTCTTTTCACAGCCTTCCATCCACAACATAGTCATCACAGCACTCCGGGGTGCCTGCTCTCTTGGTCCCACTACTGACTTTGAAATACACTCGTGTCACTTGGAGCCTCCAGAGATCCCCAACATATGCCACCAGGGACATCTTCTAGGACCATTTCTGCCTTCTGATCCCTCCAGTTGTCCTCCAACCCCGGCGCCATGGGCACAGCTCAGATGTGGCCTCTAGCATGCCTGTGCAGATGCTGGGCCCTATCTCCTAACCTTCCAGTTCCTTCTCCTTGGGCATACACCCTCTTTACATCCTTCACTGGCTCAGGAAGTCCCTAAGGAAGTAGACAGGGCTGAGGGGGAGTCCACAGAGAGGACAGATGGGAGGTCCTCCACAGAAGGCTCAGTCAAGTGGATCCAGGGGCACTGAGGAGCTAGAAGGGGCCCCAGCACCTGACCTATTGAGAGATTCACTAGTAACCTAGCCCTTCCTAGGTTCTGAAGCTTTGGAATAGATTCCCTCTTCCCAAGCTCACATTTCCTTACCATCCTAAGCCTCAGTGAGAGGCAGAGGAGAGGGTTCAGGCAGGTGGGGTGAGAGGACCGAGGCCCACTGCATTTCCGAGAAAATATAGTGCTTCAGGGACTATGTGACAGAGTCACACTACCACTGTGGACATGCATGGGGCTATGAAGACACATTTCTACCTTGCTGCCTTTTCAGTTGTGGAGAGGTCCCAGGCTCTGACTGTCGGTATATAGGCAGCCTTGCACAATCCTAACATTGACTTTACTGCACAGCAGCACAAACATAGGGCAGGGGCAAAGGCAAGTCACAGGCCTGAAAACATCAGCAAACCTGAGCCTCCTCAGCTGCCAGCTGCCTTGGTTCCCAACTGCTCATCACAGCAGGTGTTAAGAAGTCAGCTACAGGCCCAGGTGGTGCCTGGGCCCAGCTGGGTAGGCAGCTCCCTTCTCTCTGCTCCCCTGCATGTCAGGGAGAGAGGCCATCCTTGTTAAAGGGCCAGCAGCACAGCTTGTGGTCTACAGGGCCAAGGGCAGCCACATGCAGAAGTATGAGTGGGGAAGGGCTTCCTGGAAGAGGTGGCCAAAGCTGTGTTGCACTCTGGGCAAAACTGTCATTCCTGCAGCCCATCTTTTGTGGGGCCAGATTAGCTGGGAAGGAAGCTTCTGGGATCACCAGCTCACAGTGTCCACAAAGAGGAGGAAGAGGCCAAGAAAGGTTCCCGGGCTTTGAGCAGTATGAACTATCCTCCTGCCCTGAGCTGCCCATCAGCTGTAAGAGACCCCTCAGGCCCCACTGCCGGCAAATTGGGAACAGGGTGGCAGCAGCCTTCCCATGTAAGAAGCAAGAAACTGGTGCAAATGGGGGAGGCAGGGAAGAAGTGGTGGAGCTCTGATCACCTTAGTCCAGCCATCTGTTGGGCCCAGCCACTGCCAACCCATCAGGCTTGACCCAGCACCAACACCCCACCCAGGGTTTTTGCCATCTCTCTGTCCAGAAAGCCCTGCCATCTCTTTCTTGTTCACCCTTAAAAGCTAGTGCTCAGGAAGTTGCCTGGCCTGTTCCCATATAGTCTTGCCCCAACTGCTACCAGAACAGGCTTCGAGCTCACGATGTGCCCACACCAGACCAGGTCTGATTCATTTCATTCCCCCGCAGCAGCCAGCAGGATTCTTGGCACAGGCAGGTGATGGCTAGGGATTCACTGCTGCAGAGACCTCAGTGTCCTCATCCATGAAATGGGGTGCCACATCCTTCCTGGAGCTTGCAGGAGGATCAAAAAGGTGGGCTCCCTTCTGCAAAGGCCTCCTGCATCCTGGAAGCCCACCAAGCTGCTGCTCAGCATGTCCATGCCTTTACTGTCTGCCAGCCAGTTCGCTATGTAGCCTGTTTGGGCCTCAGCTGCTCACTTCTGAAGTGCCTGCCTTTCCTTAGCGTCCCTCGCTGAACCCACCCGGGTGGGGCTTCCTGGAGCAGTGGAGCCAGGGCCACTTGGCCCAGAGCCCAGGTCACACTTGCAGGGCCCTAGGTTCAACATCGAAGCAAGGGGCCAGGGTCTAAGTCTCCCGAGGCAAGGCTGCAGACCCGCGGTGGTGGGGCTCCAGGACGCCCTCTTCCCCGGCTACAGGCAAGCCCAGGCAGAGCTCGTGCTGGACAAAATGCGAGCGATGCGAAGCCCCTCCCGCGCAGCCGCGGGGTCCTGGTCCCCCGCAAGCATCCCTACCTCTGGCCCACGTCGCTGCCCACGGAGCCCCCGCCGCGGGCCGGCAGCAGCGGGCTGAGCCCGTGCGGCTCCTCAGGGGCTGCAGCGCCGGCTTGGGTGTCCCCCGGACCCGCCTTGCCCTCGGACGGAGAGCGCGGCAGTTTGGCCCGCGCCATCCTGCGGGAGCGCTTGGAGCGGTGGCGGTGGCGGTGGCGGCGCCGGGCGCAACCACCCTGCTGCTCACCCTCAACGCGCAGCACAGTGGAATGGTCCAGGGTGGGGAGGGCGTCAGCTTGGATCCCTGTGCACCAAGGTCGGTCCCAGGCTCTTGTCCTAACCTGGACGCTTCAAGGAGGACGCAGTTCCAGTGTAGAGTTGTCTTAAACCCTCCTACCAGAAGTAATAGTAATGGTGATAACGGTCATTGCGCTGAAGGGAGGGGCATAGGTGATAGCTCATGTGGCTGGCACCTCATCTCCTGGGGAAGTTGGGTGGAGAGAGGAGATAGCCATCTCTGCCGGGCATGTACCCACAGCACAGGCTACTCTTGTGTGTCCTGGGAACCATGGTCTAATGCTCAGGCTGGCAGGAAGCCCAGAGCCCCATCCATCTTTTAACTCCCACCTCAGGGCCTGACGAGTGAAGAGGATCCAGTCGTCCAGTCAGATGGGAAACGGTGTGTGCCCATCCTTCCCGCTGCAGATGCTCAGGGTCCTCACCCTTAATTCAATCCCAAGGCTGTCAGGGTTCAGGGCATAAATCTCAGTTACTGGTGGCTGAATGCTAGTGTACTGGAGCCCCATCTTGTGTGTGTCAATTCCAGATTCAGGGTATTAGTCTGTGCCAGTACCTGGACTTGCACGGTGTCACCTCAGCCTATGCAGGAGTTGAGGATATAGCTCAGAATGATTAAAAGTCCTTGCCATGCAAGCACAGGACTTGTGTTCAATTCTCAACATAAAAAAAAAAAAAAAAAGTCAGATATGGTGATAGCACACACTTAAAATCTGGGAGCTGGGAAAGCAGAGACAGGCACGTTCCTGGAGGTTGCTGACCAGGTAGCCTCATCAAACTGGGGTGCCCCAGGTCCCAGTAAGAGACCTTGCAAACAAACAAGCAAACAAAACCAAGGTAGAAAGTGACTGAGGAAGACACCTGAGGTTGACTTCCAGCCTCTGCAGACATGTACATGCATGCACATGCACCCTACATGCAGGCCTACACTCACGTGAACAGACACATGTACCTATGCACCCCACCCCCACTCAACCAAACAAACACCGTAACAACCTGAGAAGTGCACAGTGGGGAAACTGAGGGCTGAAGTGGCTGGCCCTCACTGAACTGAATCGATAAGGAGCACAGCAGGAATTTGATATGGTTTTTCTAGCCCAGCCCATCCATTTCACAGCTGAAGCTGCAGGTGACTCACCCAGGTAACAGGTGGATAACAGCAGACCGGTGTCTGTGCTAGAAGTCTGGCTAACCTGACATCCAGAGGAGTCTCTCCAGTGCACACTAGTCCTGAGCCGCTGCTGCAGCTCAGGGTCTCCTGATCCATCCAGACCAGGACCACAGGATTAATCCCCTGCCCAATCTTTCCTGACTGTGACCTGCCAATCATCAGGGCCCTTCCAGGAAGTTTGTGAGGGGAAGGTGGGCTTCCACAATTCCAGGTGGTACTAACTCTAGGGAGTGTCCTGGCCCACTACAGACTTACACTAGAAACTTCACAAAATAGGCCTTCACTACTCTCTTTTTCTTGAACCCTTTCACCATTGGATGCATCATCCATCCTTGCCCTTGCTGGGCCCTCATGTACACCCTGGCAAAATAGGACAACAGCTCAGGGCTGTCCTCATTGGGCTGAGTCCTTTGGGAGTGGATGGCTGCACCATCTGTCTCAGGACCAGTGGATTGGGCTGCTGAAGGAAAGCAAGGCACAGTCTATGACCTGCTCCATCAGAGCATCCACACCCAGAGCCACCACTGTGCTTGAGAAATGGCTGCTAAGGGACCACCCCTAAGAAGCCGTGCTAAAGAGGTAGGTCGAATAATTAGCTCTTTAATGAGATACTGCACTCTTTGTTCCCAGAATCCTGGCCCCCAACGAACACAGAAACTTGGGATAGCAGCCTTGTAGGGCCACAGATCAGCCTGTATTCTGGATTATCCAGAAAAGTGTAATTTTTCTTTATTCCTTTCTCTTTTCTAAGCATGCTTTCCTTATCACTTTGGGTGTCCTTAACAAGCAACCATGTGTCTGAACTCCAAGCCAGCCTAAATGGCATAATACTTCCCCTTCTCTCCTCCATTTTCTTTTTCTGGACAACAACTATGGTTTCTCAGTTTGCTTGCCCCACAGTTGTTTCTTCAAACTCAAATAAAAATTGTGTTGTGTTAAAAAGAAAAAAGACTATTGTTGGCTTTTCCAATTATCTGCCCTAGCTCCCAGTTCTCATAAAAGCAGCTCTGTGTCTGAGCAAATATTCATGTGAGCATCCCTGACCACACTTTAACACAGCTCATGTTGCCCATAGAGGAACAAGGCATTTGTACCCACCAAGCGCCCCTGCAGGTAGACACCCCTTTGCTCTTCTCAGGGACCCAGGAAGGGACCATGAAACTCCCCAAGGGCGTGTTGTAGGATGATCCACAGTAATGTGTGGAAATCAAACTAAGAAACAACAACAACAACATGACCCAGGATGCTGTGCACTGCTGTGCAGTGCAGAGGAAGTGCTAAGACTTCCAGGCACTAGAGGGCTGCATGAGTTTCACGGATGCAGGGCTCCATGTTTGTCCCTGAGCAATGTGGGCTGCAGATGTCACACCTGCAGAGCACAGGACAGAGACTCAGCTGCTTGCTTCAGTGTGCACGCCACTTGTGTACTGGATGCTCTGTGCTTATTTTCTCAGAGTCCAGGGAACCTTCACGTGTCTGTTTGAATTCCCTGATTAGAATCTGATAACAGTAGGTGAGTTGAACATTTCACTTGGCTTGACTCAGAGCTGATGCATGTGAAGAACCTCTTAGTAGCCATGGGGAATCTGGGGCAGGTAGCGGGGACCTGCTCCACTTGGTGCTAGATCACATGGATCAGAGCAGGTATAGTCTATTTTATTATTCTTATTTATTTAATCACTTTACAACCTGATCACAGACCCCTCCCTCCTCTCTTCCCAGTACCACCCTTATGCCCCCATTCTCTCTCTCCTTCTCAGAAAAGGGAAGGCCCCCAAGGGGTACCAACCCACCCTGACACTTCAAGTTACAGCAGAACTAAGCACATACTCTCTCACTGAGGCCAGATAAGGCAGCCCAGCTAAGGGAAAGGGATCCAAAAGCAGGTAATAGTGTAAGAGACTGCCCCTACTCTCACTGTCAGGGAACCCATCTGCTGACCAAGCTGCATGTTTGCTACATATGTGTGTGTGTGGGAGGCTAGGTCTGGTTGGTGGTTCAGTCTCTATGAGCCCCCATGGGCCCAGGTTAGTTTACTCTGTAGGTCTTCTGTGGTGTCCTTGACCCTTCCAGCTCCCTCAATCCATTCTCCCACTCTTCCACAAAACTCCCCAAGCTCAGCCTATTGTTTAGCTGTGGGTCTCTGCATCTGCTTCCATTAGCTTCTGGATGAAGCCTCTCAGAAGACAATTATTTTGCGATCCTGTCTGCAAGCATATCAGAATATCATTAATAGTATCAGAGGTTGGCTCTCTCCCATGGGGTGAGTCTCAAGTTAGGTCAGTCATTCATTTGCCATTCCCTCAATCTCTGCTGAGTAGGTGTATTTTAAGCACAGCCAACACCTCTGGTACCAGAGTAGGTAGAATAACTCCAGGCACTGGAGTACAGGGGAGAGTTTCCAGATGTCAGGGCACCTAGTATGAAGTGAGGCAAAGAAGGAAGATGAGTGCCAGGTGCCAGGCTTGAATAGTCTGTAGCCCTTAGGCTCCATGGGATGAATGCCATAGAAACCAAGGAATAAATGATCCCCCTTTTAGGATGACATTTAGGATCCCCCTACAGACATTGTAAGTAGCCTTACAGGACAACTGCAGTTGCTCCCTGTGGATGAAGCCTGCAGGGGCAAGTGATAAAATAACCAAAATGCAGGGTGCGGAGCACCTCCCAGACCCAAGAGACATAAATCAACACAGAAAAGGACAGAATCCAGTTCCTGAGATCCCAGCCAGGACAGGGCACACCAGCATCACAGACATCTACAAAACAGTGTCAGAATCAGGGTACTAAGAATGAGGAGATGATAGTTTCAGGGAGATCAAGTACTGAAGAAAGAGAAATGAGGACTATCATACCCAGCTAAGATGTCATCCAAGTCTACAGCAGAGCAGTGTACAAGAACATGACATGGCATTCCATACCTGAGAGAAAAGTAACCTTCAAGGTTTGACCTCTTCATCCTGGCCACCACTTTAGGCTAAGCTGGTACAATTATAAATCCCGAGAGTTTTTCCCATAGTTCCCTGGTGGTATATGGGTGGCAGCAAGTAGCTATCCTAACTTATACTGTTGTCCAGCTGGGGAGGTATCAGGGCTGAACCTCTCAATAAGGTCAGTCCCCTCAGACTGTCCCATAAAAACAAACAAACAAACAAACAAAAAACATGAGCCCAGGGCATGCCCAGCTAGATGGCTTGGATACCCTAGGCAAGGATATTTCATAAGATCTAAAAAAGAGGGCAGGTCCAGAGCTGGGCACACATAGCCCTTCCCAGCTCTGGGGTTCTGGAAAGGCAGTGTGGTCATATACAGGGTGAGGAGAAAGGACATAAAAGCTGTAGGCTACATAACAGCCAAGAGGTGTTAGTGTCCTAGTGTCTATGCACAGTATGGCATAGGCCATGGGTCAGTCCACAAGAGAGAACACTCAGCCTCAAGCAGGGAGGGAGTCTGCCACATGCTAAGTGGCATGTTGTGCTAAGAAATAAGCCTTCAGAAAAGGACAGGTTCCTTGGGGCAGCACTCCATTTATATGAGGTCCAGAGTCCTTGGTTCCATAAAGGCATGCAGTAGAAGGTGGATGTCAGGGGCTGGGGCTAAGGAGTCAGTGCTACTGTGGATGGGCAATGCTGGCAGCTGCACGGCAGAGTATACTTACTGTACCAAGTGAGAGAAAGAACTTTAAAGACAGAGAGCCTGGCTGTCAGCAAAGCCTAACTCCAGGCCA